TATAGATTACAGTTTCAAATTTTAAGTGCATTAATTATTAACTAAATGTAATGTATAAAAAATAACGGCTATAAATTATAATAATTAAATTATCATAATAATATGTAATTCATATTGAAATTTAAAAGATATAATTTTATCAAGATCTAAAGCTGAAATATTATTTATTATTCTCAAATGTTTTTTATAATACTTAAAAGATTTTATAATTGTACAGCCAAAATAAATGATATTCGACCTTTTTGACACACAATCGATATTTCGATACTTAGTATTTTATGCTAAAAGCTAATTCACTACCTGCTAAATGTACCTTTCTTAGGAAACCAAGAAGTATGTAACCATACTACTGTAGGACCAATTAGTATAATATACGTATTGTGTAATTATTAGTTATTAGTTATAATCACCAAAAAAATGCGTTTGCACACTCCAAGGCTAAGTATAAATATTTTGTAAATGGATCATTGCAAAAAGTTAAAAGATTAAGTAATTTTTTTTCAACTTCATGTTAAATACAGATAAACGCAATAATATAATATTTTATACATATCCGTATTTATAGGCTTGCCATTCGTCCTGGTTTTAACAGCACTTCCCGGTGTCCCGGCCGGTCATTAATTTTGTACCAGTTAATGGAAGCCGAGCTAAAATAACTTTAACATTATATTATTTAATTTCGAAACATGGAATAATATTGTACATAATATCATTACATCATTACATGATTATCGTATTATAACGTTATCTGTTTATTATTTCCATATAATTATACTATCACACTAAAAAAAAAAGGTTATTTTAATATGATGTCCCGGTTTGGTGATTTTAAAATCTAGCAAGCCTACATATTTATAAAAGAAAGTTTATGGAGCAGCTTTTGGTATTTTTGGATTACTGTTGAAATGTATCATATAATTTTGAATTTAAACATAAATATAAAATAACGAATAAATACATATTACTTTTGTATAAATTTGATTAAAAATTATATTAAGGCCCATGGATTATGGTTCATTTAATCTTTAATCGGTACTTTTTTTATTTCATTGATTTATAGTTTGTATAGTTATAGTTTCAAAACGCGTAATATTTTGTTATTCAAGTATTCTCGTATATGCTACGATTACCCAAAAACTTAAAATTATGATTAATCATTATTCACTACCAATATATAATTCAACCTCAAAACACCCACAAACAATTATACCTAAGTAAACGCTTATTATAGTCTTCAGCTAGCTCTGGGGCTCGAAACGGTAGTAATATTTAGGTAGATATCGGGGGCCTGTACTACCTACATATCGTATAGTGCGTCTCGAAGACGAGTACGAAATACGAATAAAAACAACAAAAAAAAAAGTTCTAATCCGAATTTCGACCTCGGTTTTCGTACGTCAGGCGTATATTTGATAATGGCCGCTGTGCAAAGGGTATCGATTTGAGGCTTTTGGTGGGCAAATGATTAAAAACGGCCCGGGGCAGCGAGCGGTGGGCGCACGCGCGCGCTCGTTACGCGCGGGAGACGGAAATTTCGATTCGGCGTCGGGACGCCATTTTGTTTCGGGACTGGACGGACGGTGTTGATGCCGCCGATTCCAGTTATGCGCTGTTGCCAACTGATGGGCGGAGGGGAGTGGAGACAAAACCGGAATGTAATACCGAACACCTGGCCCACACCCGCAGCGGGCTTCGAAGCGCATGCGCGTCGAAACGGTCTACAGCGACGGTTAAAAACACGCTATGATGTGCACGGGACGTGTTCTCATGACGGTCTTTGTCTGCTCGTCGGTACAGCGACGTAAAACGGAGATCGGCCGTTCGTGATTTTACACCTACGGTCGGCGGCGGAGGGGTCGCGAGACCTTTCGCGCGTGCGCGACGCGATCCCATTTTACATTGTATCGATTATTATTCAAGTCGGACGTGGTGGGGAGTCGAAGAACGGGCAGAGTAGCATCTCGCACCAGCGAGGGTGAGGCATGGAGAGTGGGGGACGCTACAGCGCTTGTGCGCGTCAATATTGAGCACAGCTCCCGCTGTGAGTTCCGTGAAATGTTCTACAGTGTACGACGGGGGGAAAAAAAAAAAAAACCAAAAACAAAAATTATTCCGCGTCCGTCGATGTATCGATAAATATTCAATAAGATAATACTAATGCACGCCGTGTGAAACTCGACTATCATGCTCCTTTAAATAATCGCATAGACGAAGAAACATTGATTAGAAATACCGTCACACTATCGGAAGAAAACCAAATTACAAATAACGATTAAAAAGAGAAAATTTTAAAAAGATTTTAAAAACGATTTTAATAAAACAACGCGTTTGACTTTACCCGTAGTGTTTAATGAGACTACGGGCTGTTGTATAAGACTGCGTAAAAACGGGAAGGAAAATCAAATTTAGAATGATATAGAATTCATGACGTATAATTTTATACTTCTTATTTTTAATTACTAAATAGATACTCTAAAAAAAAAACTGGATTCCAGTTAGGTAGACAGTTTTAACGCGGTATGCGATTTGTATAGTTTAAGTAGCCACAAAATAATATCATGGTCAGCCATGGGCGCCCATAGGTAATATTTTAGGGGGAGAGGTCAAAATAAAAAAATTTTCGAACGTAAGATAATAAAGATATAATGTTATTTTTTACATATAAATGTATGGCTGTACATCATTTGCACATCGTCTGTTTACCTGTGCCAAAATATCGTACATCATTTGCGCATTAGCGCTAATTATTGTTTGCGCATTGTCCGTTTTACCTACACCAAATTATCATACATCAAATGCGCATCAACATGTTGAACAATAGAATTGTATAAAAAATAGTTTTTGATTGAAAATGTAATGATTTCCATAAATCATATGTAATAAATAAACTCATATAATTAAAATAAATTGAATTGCTATCATGATAATTATACAAATACACATAATATTGAAATGAACACTTTTGTCGGCGCATTACAGTCATAAAGTACAAATATAAATATAATTTGAATAAATTGAAAATAAATGCCATCGCTGCCATCACAAAATCTCTCCATTTCTCTCTATCATATGCGGCGTAAAATATATTTTTAAACAGAAATATCTGTACAATATTTGAAAGTTAATGAATGAATTTCAAGATCAAAGTTAAAAAAAAACTAGCACTTTTGAATATACACCTTTTTTTAAATTCTATTGTTAAATAATATTGATGCGCAAATGCTGTAAGACCTTTTAAACGGCTAATGCGCAAATGATGTATAACCCAAAAATCGAATGATGCGCAAATGACTTACAAAAAAGGTCAAAATTAACAATAGCGATGCGCAAATGACAACCGGCGAAATGTATATACTATACATGCATTTTATATTTTTATTTGTATATTTATATATATATAGTGTATTAATAATAATTGCCATACGAATAAATAAATAAATAAGTATATAAAAAAATAGAAATTAAATAATATAATTAAGTATATTATTCGGTATCAGTAAATAAGAACTGTAAATTTCTTCGTTTTATCCAAACATATTAATGACATCCTGAATGAAAGTATCCTCGTTTGCATTAGGTTAAAATATTTGTAGTACCTATATTGTGATCTTTATAGATTTACCACAAATTATCTGCGATAAATAATTTTACGTATAGGTTATACGGACTACAGAATACGACCTATCTATAATGTTAATATACGATAACAATGAGTATATTTTTATATTTATTTCATATCTTAAAAGTGATTTCAACAAATAATTTGCCTCAGTAATAAGGTAATATTGTGGTAATATTTTTTCCAGGGAGCGGGGCAAGTGCCCTGTCTTGCCCCCCCCCCCAATGGGCGCCCATGTGGTTAGCTCTCGACGTCCAAATTCGGTCGACTTTACAGGCGACCAGTGAGTCGTATTCCGTTAAATTTATTCTCGTTTACATTTTTATTGTTATTATTAAGTTATTGATTATTGACTTATATACAACAGATGTAAAATATCGCAGGATGCGTACTACATAGGTAGTACATAGGTACATAGGTATATTGCCTACATCTTGGGATAAATGCAATTATTTATAATGATAGGTAATAATAATAATAATAATAATAATTGTTTTTATAGTTAATAACTATAAAATCTATATACTCTAGAATTAATTTGTAATTTTATAATAGATATCTAATTATTGTATATTGCATTTATTGATGGAAAAAATATATTTGTATAATTAAGTAATATAATTATCAGAATAAATCAGAAAAAAATCGACTAAATGGACAATAAAAAATTAATTTGACAAAATGGTACGGCGGCGGAATGACGGCAATATGGCCGACTACAGGCTTCCCAAATTTTATTTAAATGGTTTTACTATTAAGTATTAATATGAAATAATATTGTTTCAAATCATTTGCTTTTTGAATCTTTTCGTTATAAAAACAATTAATCACGTAACAAAAAGTCGAAAATTCACTCTTCTGCATATTACGATGATTCACAGCGATATCTTACATGGATACCTACGGATAATCTAGCAACAGTCTACAGAGCAAAACGGGCCAGCCCAAATATTTTACGTCGGACGTGCCGTCGCCCGTCAGTGGGTGGTTATTTATTTCGATGCTTTAAGCCGGTCGGAGGTTCAGCGCCATCGCATCACAAAAGTCTCCATGGAAACCAGCCTGCACAGTGTGTACATGGTACAACTGCGCTGCAAATTCCGCACGTCATTAGGTCACTCTGATTTGCCTATGCGGACGGCGTCGTGCTACCTGACCTAACGTCGATGTAACGGACACATGGTACAAACCGTAATTCACCCAAGCCGTGTGACGCGTATTGGGCGCGCCACGGTCGCCAGACGCTACGATTTGTACACACTGGTACCGAACCAATCAGAGTACCGGATCACTGTTTGTTCCGCGTTCCTCTCGCGTCCCACATCCAGCCGCTGAGTGTCCGTGTCCTATTCACTTAGTCTTAGTAGCAGTTCGACGTTTTGTCACTCCACTCGTGCGTGTCCTCTGAGATTTGAACGACGTTGTTTCATTTAGCTGATCGTCTGCCGTTATTCGTTGATATTTTTTTTATCCTCGCAAGTGTTTGTAGATTTGTTTGGCCTTTCCGATTCTTCGAATATGTCGGACAACGAAAGTAGCTCTTCATCCGATGTAGTAGAAGTACCCTGTCACTCGCCGCCCATACAATGGCAATCCGGGCCGACTCAGAATCCAAGAATAAGTTTTTACAGCAGTGGAATGTACGGTGGGGATGAAATGGAGCTGGACGACGGCAATTACTCCGATTCCACAGCGGAGACCGAATTCGAGAGTGTCGGCGAAGACAGATATGATATCCACGGACGTCTACTTCCTCATAGACGTTACACTAGAGCTGCCTTTGCCCAAATGTGTCAAGACAATTCTGATGCTAACCAAACAAGTGATGTTCCTGCCGGGATCCCAGTCTACCATGTTCCTGCCGGTATCTCTATCGACAATGTCCCTGCCGGGATCCCTATCGACAATGTTCCTGCCGGGATCGCTATCGACAATGTCCCTGCCGGGATTCCTATCTACAATGTTCCTGCCGGGATCGCTATCGACAATGTCCCTGCCGGGATCCCTATCTACAATGTTCCTGCCGGGATCGCTATCGACAATGTCCCTGCCGGGATCCCTATCTACAATGTTCCTGCCGCGATGCCTATCGGCAACGCTTCTGCTGCAAACGCAGATGTGGATTTGAACAACGACGTTGACATGGACATGGACAATACCGAACCCGAGTTTCAGCCATCTGTAAACAAGTGTGTATCCATGATTGCTATTGTCGGCGTGAATTAAACATACGTCCTATCTGTTATTTATCGCCCTATTTATTTTTACGATCTCGCCGTGCTGTTTTCGTTTGTTGTTGCTTACCTACCTGTGAGATGTTATCTCAATCGGCGAAGGAAACATAATTTTTAACATAGTCCTAACGAAAAACAAAACCATAAACAATAATTCGCGTGTAAAAAATGTCTCCTTTTACCTAACTAAAAAAGTGTCGTTTTCTCTGAGATCTACTCCATCGATAAAATTGCTATTTTCACCCCACAGCAGATAATGCAGTAATCTAGTTAATACTGGTTTTGTTTATTGTTATTTTTTAAAGCTATAATACATAGTTAAATTATTGCGATTGTTACATTTATTTCTATTTTAGGTACTTATATACAAGTATCGCATCATTTTAATAATATTTTGTCTTCTACAATGAATTTTTATTTTAATTGCTTGTAATGGTATTATATACTCATGCAGTTAGGCCGAAGAGTATATTTTTTATAGAAAGAGTTCGTTAACTAACGGGGTTGTAATTCAAACACTACACGGAAATCTGTATAATATCTTTAAAACAATTTGTTAATTTATTATAAAGTATATTTTAAAACACAGTATTGTACAAATCGGTTACTTATGCACGACTAACTACAGTTTATTTTATGTATTCTTGTCTTGGCTACGCAGTCGCTTACAAAAAAAAAAAAACGTATTGCTTACACAACAATGTTAAATTAAATATTAAATACATTTTTTTCTATTTATAGCTTCGTTGCAGTTAATGTTGAAAATGTCGATCCGTTCGGAGAATTATCCACTGCTGTTTTTCAAACTGAAATACGTCAACGGAATCCACAAAGTGAATCATTTGGAGCTGGATTTCGAATACTTCGAATTAGGAATCCCATGTTGAACGGTGAAGACATTTATTTCCATGTCGAATGGCAAAAAGACGCTTACCATGGTATTGATTTACTTGAAGCTCCTATTCTTTACTTTAGATGGCCTCATGAAACAATCGACTTTTACGAGAAATATTTTGGAGAAAAATGACTGATTCATAACGTACCTACCTGATTTTTTAAATTATAAGCAACTAATAAGTACTGATAATATAAGTACATACCTAATGTACCAATACTTTAATATCTAAGTTTTAAAATAACAATAACTTTTTTTTTGTTATTTATCATAAAACATTTTTCCAGTTTGTGAATTTATTTACTGATTATTGTCAAACATAATATGAAACCACTAAAATTGTATTTTTACGTATGTTTAGTAAAGTATCATATCCCCAATAATAAATATAATCTTTTTTTACTGAATTATATCTGAGTATTATTTTATCAATATCTTTTTCCCTTAATATATGTTTTTGAATAATGCTAAGTTTGATGATTGACAATGCAGCAGACAGCAGAAGCTGCAATATTGTAGCTTAAATCTATTGAAAACTACAATCAATATACTGAATCGCATATACGAGTATTATAATGCATTATTGTTAAAATTACAATTGTTTTTAATTTTTTAAGTAATAAGATATGTTTACTTACACAGTACAAAAGTGAAGTGTCGCATGATAATACATTATATTATATACATTATACAATATACATACATAGGTATTACACAGATTATAGACATTAATGTTTCTATTTGGTATGTATCATTATTAATCTTCTTGGTATGTAAAATTGTTTATTTTCAAGTGAACTGTATTAAAAACTGGTATATTATCATATCTTTAATTTTTTGTTGAAAAATGTTAAATTCCTTTGTAAATTGTTATAACATTGTCAGTCATAAGTCAAAGATTTATTTATTCCATTAATTTCTCTAAAATACTTTTTATCTGCAAATAATTTAAATAAAAAGTAGGTATATACATTTTCACCACAATTGTGATTTGCTGTTAATAACAATATTAATACAATGTTTTATAACAAAAATGTTGATTATCCTTGGTATATAATGGTAATATTACTTTTTAAATTAGCAAGTATTGACAAATTTGGTCATTTGTAAGATTTTTACTTGATAATATTAATTTTAGTACAATAGGTACTTTAAAATATTGTATCTTAGAGTAGCACCTGATATAAATGTCTATTTGTATTCTTACTTTAATAGTGCCTTCTATGGAAGTAAATTCAAACTTGTAATGTAGATAATATTGGGACAGTTATAGGTAGACGTTCATATACTAGTTTATACTTTAGTAAATTATATAGTTAAAGGACAATAAATATTTATAAACCTAGATCATATATGATAGTAGGTATATGGTACATATTATCTCAGACACATCTGTTTTCAAGGGCATTAGTAGATTATGATATAACATTAAAAATATTTATATTTTATGTTTTTATAAATATTTCTTTTATAATGAATTAAAATTTGTGAGGTACTTAAAAATAAAATAAATTAATTCCATTAGTTACAGATGCTTTGAAATTCATTCTAATCATCCATTGCTTGATGAATAAAAAACTATTGTAGATGGTGGAAATTAGGCTTCTGTAGAGGTGATAAGAAACTGTGTTATCATTATTTTTTAAATATAATAGTATTATTAAAAAAATATATTTGCGTTAAAACATTGCAACTAATAACACTGTTATATTGAAGTCATATATATATAAATATATTAAGATTATCCCATGCAATCTTCCAGTTTAAATATTATAAAGTCATTTCAAGAAGTAAAATATTAATTTTAGCAAACATAAATAATTTTTAAAAATAAAAATTAATTTAATCTATCATTTCTTCATTTTAGTTTGTATTTGAGTATTGAGTTTGTTTAAAATTTTGCCAAACCTATCTGTTTTATGACCCAGAGTATATTCCTCTACAGTTGAATTTTTTAGATATTTACTAAATATATTCAATATTAAAAACGGTTTGACAATATTTTGCTAGAAAACTTTCATAATTTTATATGCCCACAACCCACACATTATTTTTACCAGTCTACAAGAAAAAAAACTGTTCATTAACTAAATGAACAGTAAAAAATAAAAACAATGAATAATTTTTAGACCAAATTATCTTATATATTATAATTAATATTTAAATAAATATTTAAATTGCTATCATTAATTATGTCTTCAATGTTCAATGATTAGTCTTTGGTTTGTAAGCATTCATCAATTGAAGAATAGTCCGGTACATTTGTTGGACATATTGTTGAAGTTAGTTTCGATAACTCACTATTCAGATCCTTTACTTTGCGGGCCAAAGTAACATTTTCACCTATCCCGATTGCGTCCGATAGGTTAGGTAATAAATTTCGATTAAATAAGCTGTTAGTAAAAGAAATAGAAAATTGATGTTGTAGGCATATCATTAAATATTATAATAACGAATAATTATTTTGAATTTTTAAAATTTAAAGTATTTTCATAAAAGTATTTGAATTTCAAATACTAATACGTCCAATACAGTAGGTATTTAAAATATTTACTTTATTTTATAATTTTAAGATGTTTTATGAACCAATGTATGTTTGGGTGCAATCGAAATACTTATATTTGGAATTAAATACGACTTTCCGAATTCGGGCCGCAATCTGGCAACTCCGCGGGTGCGATCGTTCGCAGTGCGCAGTCTCTATGGGGTCGGAGAGTTTACTTTTGGGTGTGCACTGTATTGTAAGTATAATACGATGAGGGTCCGTTTTTCAGAATTCTATAACATATAATCAATAAAATATATTGAAAAGAGGGTGAATACAACTCCTAACATAATATAAAAATTTTTTTTCAG